TGTTGTTTTACTTCAGTCCTTCCATATCCTTATATTTTAAGTATCTCTTGCTAAAGCTAGATTTTCTGTTCCCTAATCTGATTATCTTTCTTTTAATTAATTTTATTATCTTTCTTTTAATTGCGATTTGGTCCATTAACATTTATTGTGATTATGAAAGTATTTGGGCTTGTTTCTAATGTCTTATATTGCACTTTCTATTTTTCTCACTTTTTTAATGCTTATTTCTACTTTCTTGGGTTTTTTATTGAGATTTTATTTATTTATTTATTTTTTAATGGCAGTATTAGGGATTGAACTCAGGACCTTGGGCATGCTAAGCATGCATTCTATCACTGAGCTATATCCAAACCCCCGTCTTTATTTTCTTATTTCATTTGTTTCTTTCTACTGGTTTTCAAACTGTATCTTTTATTTCTATTATTGAAATCTGACCATTCATGCTTAACTGTAATGTTAATGAGTATCTTAACACTTCTGAGTTATACAAGGACCAAATACCACTTTAATTCTGATTACTCATTCTGAAATACATGCCTTTTTCCAAGTATTTAAATCTTTTTTACTACCAAAAATATGCTTTATTTTTATTGTATTCCAAGGTATCTCAGCCGTGGCACTATTGACAGATGACTCTTTGTTGTGGAGGGTGGGAGGACCAGCCTGGGCACTGAAGGATGATGAGCCGCATCCCTGGCTGCTGCCCATGAGGAAGCCATTAGCATGCTTACCTGCTGCCCACCAGTAAGACCAGAATTTTCTACAGATGCTCCCAGATGTTCCCTGGGGCAAAAGTGCCCTCAGCTGAGAACTACTATTTTATGTAGACGCTGTTTATTTACATTTACCTATAATTTTACCTATGTCTTTGCTCACTTCTTATATCCCATACCTCCCTTTTGGCATCATTTTATTTCAGATATATTTTTTGTTTCCTTTGCTGATAGATTATTGGTAGTAAACAGTTTTTGTTCACTCTTATTCTTTTTTTTTTAATTCCAATAGACTGCCATTTTTTTATTTTTTAAAGGTTATACTCCATTTATAATTATTATAAAATACAGCCTATATTCCCGATGTCATACAGTATATCTTGTAGCTTATTTTATACCTAATAATTTGTACCTCTTCGTCCCTCATCCCTGTGTTGCCCCTCCCCTGTCTCTCTCCCCACTGGTAACCACTAGTTTGTTCTCTATACCTGTGAGTCTGCTGCTTTTTTGTTATATTCACCAGGTGTATTTTTTAGATTCCACATGCAAGTGGTATCATACAGTATTTGTCTTTCTCTGTCTGACTTATTTTACTTAGCATAATGCCCTCTAAGTCTACCCTGTATTGCTGCAAATGGCATTATAGTGCTCTCATTAGTGTATGTTTGACCCTCTCATTCTGTCCTTTTTATACTTTACTTTCTATGGTATTTTCTCTGTGCCACAGTCTAGGCAGTTCTTCAGATATATCTCTGGTTCACAAATTCCCTCTTCACCAGAGTCTAATACAATATTTCATCCATTGAGTTTTACACTTTAGCAATTACATTTTTCATTTTTAAAGGTTCTATTTGGTTCGTTTTTTAAATCTTCCTGGTCATCCTAGATTGTCTGTTGCTCATTTTGAATTCTTTTTTATTTCTGTAAATAATTCACATACACTTATTTTATATTTTATACCTAAAATATTAATATCTGAGATCCTTGGGGGTTTAATCTGTTGTTTTATTTCTATTGACTTTCATTATTATGTTTTGTTTCTTTATGTGTTTAGCGATCTTTGATTGTGAGCTGATGTTTGGTTGATTTTAATCTGGGGATCCTGTATGTTACTTGGTACTACTTTAGCCCACTGAATTTATTTCTATTATATTTTTTTAATTGTCACAGTTATTTGGTTCTTTTTCATATCACCTTACTTTTTATTCATATTTTCAAGCATATCTCTTATTTTTGTAATATATTAAAATTTTTAAAAATATCTGATGATTCTAGTATCTGAAATCTTTGCAGATCTTATTCTGATGCCTGTTGTTTCTGCTGACTCTCACTCATAAATGCTTTGTTTCCTTTGGTGTGTAATCATTTTTTTAAATTATATTCATTTTCATTCAGACTTTATCTGGTGAAGTTCTTTGAGGTTTTAGATCAAATTAGGTTTCTACTCAGATTATTGGCATTTGTTTTTTCTCAGGCATGTAGAGACATTAACAGTCTAGGAACTATTTAAATACTAAGCTTGAAGCTTTCTAGTCTACTCAGACTGATTTGGAGCAGCAAATGCATATGAATGCATACATATTTTCTGGGAAATTTTATATCTTTTCTGTCTTCCATTAAATAGTTTTCCTAGCAATCCTGGGGGTGGGATAGGGGTTGAGGATGCTTTTGTTATATTTGGTTCATTTTTTAAAAAAACCTTTTTATTCTGAAATAGTTATAAGAAGTTGCAAAGGTAGTACAGTGAAGTTCAGTGCACTCTTTACCCAGTTTCCTACAATGGTTACATCTATGTGACTGAAGTACAATATCAAAACCAAGAGTAAACACTGGTATAATGTGTGTGTGTGGTTCTACACCATTTTATGGTAAACGTAGATTCATGTAATTACCACCACAATCAAGATACAGAACTATTCCATCATCAAATCTGCATGGTATCTAAACTTCTTACCTCCAGTACCCAGAAATCTGTTCTCCATCTCTAATTTTGCCCTTTTTTGAACGTTGCATAAATGGAATCACACAGTATGTTACCTTTTGAATATTGCTTCTTTTCAGCAAGCATAATGCCCTTGTGACCCATCTAAGTTGCTGTGTGTTATCAATAGCTAATTCCTTTTAACTGTTTAGCAGTGTTCCATATTAAGGATATGCTACTATTTACTTAATCATTCACCAATTGAAGGATATTTAGGTTTTTTCCAGTTTGGGGATATTACAAATAAAATTTTTATGAACATTTGTGAACAGGTTTTTGTGTGGACTTATGTTTTCATTTCTCTGATATAAATGCCAAGGAGTGTGATCCCTGGGTCATACAGTAAATATATGTTCACATGTATGTTTAGGATACTGTATCTCTGATGTTCTGTGCATATACCTTCAGGATTGCTGTGTCTCCTTGGCATTATGTTATGTTCTTCACTGTCCCTGGTAATTTTGTTTGGTCTTACATTTATCTGATATTAATGTAGCCAATCCTGCTTTCTTTTCCTTTTTTTTTCCGTTCCATGTTTCTTTTGATTAATGTTGCCACGGTATGTTTTTTCTCATCCTTTTACTTTCAATCTGTCGTCATATTTGAAGTGAACTGTGTATGTATGAACTAGATGCTGGGTTTTGAGTCTGACTCATTTTTAGAGTACAGCCCTGGGGCTCCAGCTTTATGGGAGTCTCTGCACAGGCAGAGATTTAGGCAGGATTTATTCTTCAACCCTCTCAGGACCCGTGAGATCACAGAAATCAATATACAGTGTTACCAATTTGACACATACCCTCAGGATGGAAGCCAGCTTTGGTGCTCTAGGATCTAAGTTCTCACCTTCACACTCAGTCCTTGACCTGTGTATTTTCCCTCTTTAATAATTTCCAGTGGGAAGGTTGGTGTGTGCATGTGACCTGCCATGTTGCTGGAGAGCCAAATAATCCTCAAAAAAGCTCACTGACAGGTATTGTTACTCTGGTCTTACAGATGATGAAAATGTTTGACATGGTGAGAGATGATAGAATATAATGGGAACCCATGAGTTTTGAGACAGGCCAGCCTGGGCTTGAATTTTAACCTCTCGCTTAGTTAGCTGTGTAACTTTGAGCAATTTATTTGATCTCTTTAAACCTCAGTGTATTCATCCACATTATAATATTTTTCATGGTGTTCCTGGGAGCATTAAATGAGAAATACATTAAAAATGTTTAGCATTTTATTTAGTACCCAGTCCTGAATAAATGATAATTGCTCCTGTCATTGTTGTGCTAACCGTTACTAAAGATTCCATAACTTGCCCATGGTAATTCAGCTAGTATGTGGCCAGGCTGAGACTGAGACTTAGGTCTGTGATTCTAAAGCCCATGCTCTTTTTCTTATACCATGTCGCTTTCCTTATCTTCCTTAGAAAGAATTCACAGAGGAAAAAAAGAAAAATAATAATTCTTAGGCCTTTCACACATTTATTTTATCCTATGTAAATAATCCACAAATGTTTAAATGGCTAGATTTGGTGGGGAATAGGGGGAAAAAAAAGTCTCAGCACTTGATCCTATATAGTAGGTTGTACTTAATGTAGTACTAAAATATTCAGGCTTTAGAATCAAAAACTTGGGGTTGAGTCGCAGTTTCTCAACCTCTAAGATCCATAATTCGTGATATGTTAAATGGGCATAATAGCATTAACTCCCTAATAGGAATATTGGCAGGATAAGATAAAAGAAAGTAATGTATTTAGAACAGGAACTAAAACATGGTAAATGCTCCCAAATGGTAGCTATTGTTATTACCAAAGGCAGAGACTGTTTTCTGCATTTTTTTATTCCTCCCGTTAGTTCAGTCAACGATTAGTGTCCGTTTGTACACTAAAGAAAATACATGGCAATCAGCCTGCTTGATGCTAAACAGGACACTAAATAAAAAGGACACTAAATTTGATTCCTTACAACCAGGAGCTTATTACTTAAGAGAAGCAAATCTGCTCCGGAGTTTGCTCCATCACCTACGAGTCTCAGCGACTCCAAAACAGTTGGAACCATCATTCTCTCTGAGAATGTCTAACAGTTCAAGTATTTCGGCATGTATAACAAAAGAAAAGTCTCTGGTTTGGAAGATAATTTTCTCTCCCCCATGAGGAATTTAAAAATACAGAAAACATAAAAAGGCACTTCCTTTCCACTGGTTTATAAAGACCCGCTGCTCAAACTCATGTTAGAAAGAGATAAAGATGTATACAAAAGGGTTCACACCCTGCCAGTAATCAGGAAAACCTGTATTAATAAAATTCAGATTATAATTACCTTCTTCTTTTGTTCTTCCCCAGCCAGTTATAAAACACTTTGTTTTTCGGTTCAGTTTTTGGAAAACACCAAAAGGTAGACAAATAGGCTGAATATAATCATTATACTTCACTGCTTTTTTTAAATGAAAAAGCGCAATATCATTTACATAAGAGTCCACGTCAAATTCTGGATGGATGATGATCGCTTTAACTTTCATCTTCTTGGTGGTTGGCTGAGTCCCGTCTACCTTATTAGTTCCAACCACAACTCTCCACATTACAGGCTCTCTGAAAGAAAGTAAATGTCCTTATTATATAAACATGCTTATTGAACTAAGTAAACATTCTGAATTTCCCGCTAGTTTTTATTTTTCTCAGATTAACAAAAAATTTAATCTTACTTTCGTGTGATAAATTCATATCAAGTAAAAACCTAAATTTTGTGATGTAGGAAAGGATAAAAAGATCAGGGGGACAGAAAGTCCCAGACAGGTTTAAGTACATGAGAATTTAATGTATGATTCAAATACATGAGACTTTAATATATGGTAGGACTTCTTACCAGTGGACAAATGGATGAATTATTCAGTAAATGGTACTGATTGGGACAACTAGCTAACCAACAAACTAGTTAGAAAAGTGGAATAGGAGAGGGTCTAACTCAAGTAGTAGAGCACATGCTTAGCACACAAGAGGTTCTGGGTTTAATCCCCAGTACCTCTTCTAAAAATAAAAAAACCTAATTACCTCCCTCTTGCCCCCCCCAAATAATAATACAATAATAAATAAAATTTTTTTAAAAGTGGAATAAATTAAATCCCTGAAAAACACTAAATACTAAAATAAACTCAAATTGATTAAATATTTACATGCACAAATCTTTTCAATAAAGACTTCCTATATTTTAGGAATACATAAAGCAGTATGTTTGAGATTTCCTCGAAAGTAATTGGAGGAGGAGTTGGCGGGGATACAGAAGAAACAAGATTAGGAATGAGTTGATAACCTGAAGCTGGATAATATGTATATGGGAATTCACTAAACTATTCCCCCTACTTTTGTAAGTTGTTAAACTTTTAGAATGAAACATTTGGGCATTAAATTATGATGAGAAGTTTAAACCAGAATGAAAATATAGAAAGAAAACACGAAACATTGACATGAAAAAGGACTTCATATATTCCACTAGGCTGTATCTCTGTGAGACTTTATAAAGCATGACACTAAATACAAAAGAAGCAGCTAATGGATCTTGACTGTCTTAAAAAACAAACAAACAAAAACAAGCAAAAATCAAACCAAACCAGAAATCTTCTGTAGGTCAAAAATCAACAATTAAAACCCCAAGTGGTTAATAAGTATGCACCTGAAATTGCATTGGGAAGAAGGAACTTTTTACTTTATATTTTAAAGTAAAGTATATTTTTACTTGTTACTCTTGTTTACAAACTCTGAAATTCCTTTCATCCTCCAAATTGACGCAGTTTATGTATGAGAGAGAGTGTGTGTGTGTGTGTGTGTGTATTTGATGATAATGATCAGTACAGACAAGAGCCAGAGGACAAAAGGCACTATTATTCATTGAGAATATGATAGATGGGCAGTAGATGGGCACTTTGGCATCAGGTATCCATAGCCTATGAGAGCTGTATTGTATTTGATACTGCAGTTCTAATTCCTAGACTTTATCCCAAGGAAATAGAAGAATTTAGTTATCTTAAAAGTGGGCTAGGTAACCTCTAAAAAGTTTGTAAAAAAATTTTTAAAGTCCTAGTTTTATTTTGTTTAAAAAGAAATCACTGCTTTGAGCTACTTTGAAATAAAGATATTTCTTTCCTTTCCCAAACATCCAGTTTATCTTTTTTGAAATTAAAATTGTTCCCAGTTTTATTAAGAAATAATTGGCGGGGTAGAGGGTGGGAAGGGATAGACTGGGATTTCAAAATTGTAGAATAGATAAACAAGATTACACTGTATAGCACAGGGAAATATACACAAAATGTTATGATAAGTCACAGAGAAAAAAATGTGACAATG